GAGAACAATCAACAAGAAGAATGGAAGGACAAAGAATGGAAAATAAAAAATTAAAAAGAAGAACTGCTTTTATTAATAAATTTAATTGTGAAGCAAAATATACAAATTTAAAGCCGACAACAAGAAATGTTTTTGAAAGAGTTTTGGAATTGGTTAAATCTAAATATTTTTGGAATACAAAATCACAATTAATTGATTCAAGCAGAGGAAGAAATCCGGCAAATGGAGAGGTAAATTGAAGAATAAAAGATAAAATTAATAAGTAGAAGAATAGGAGTGATATTCTCTCCCTCTAAAATGAGAGAAAATTTTCTATACCCTTCTTGAATAATTACTCTCAATTCTCGTTGAAGAGAGGGTAATTAATCGAGGGGGAGGGTAATTTCAATCCAATATTCTTTTCATATTTTCAATTTTTGTAGACATATTTAAATATTGTAATTGACCCAATTACTCAAAAACATGCCAATATGACAGTCAAAACCCCCGAACAATTAATTCGTTTCCAACAAATTGAATTACCAATTCAAATGCGCCCTTTCCCTTTGTTGAGACAACAAAATGTTCATCAAAACATTCAATCATTCGGCCAGTTTTTAACTCGACAGGAAGTGGAAAGTAGAGCTGAATGTTCTGTTGATGGACAAACTGTTGAGACTTTTGGTTAGATTTCCAAGAAAAAAACTTTCAAAAAAAATAATTTTTTTAGATGAAAGAGAATATCGTTCACCTCTTTCAACAAATTGTTATTCAGTTTTGGCAAAAGATTGTGGGGCTATGGGGGGAGTTCCTCGATTTGTTGTTTTAATGAAAGCTATTGAAAGAGGAAATAAATATAGTCAAAAGAAATTAAAATTACTTTCCCCTCAAATGTCTGTTGAATGTCAAAGAGAAACACCAAATAATAATCACAATTCCCCAATTAAATGTAAAATTAATGGAAAAGAAGAAGAAAATAATCAACAACAACAATTAATTCAATATAATAATAACCAAAAGAATGATTTAATAATTAATTGGGATAAATTGGCTGTTCGTTTTAATGGATACAAAGTTTGGATTAAAATATCTAGTGATTATAAAAATACTCAATGTGGACTTTGTGGACATTATGATGATGCTAGTAATGATGAAAATGAATTGTTAATGGCTAATAATGAAATTGGTAATGAAGGGAAGGGGGAAGGGAGGGAGGGAGGGAGGGAGGGAGGAGGGACGGGGAGGGAAGAGGAAGGAAAGAGGAAGAGGGAAGGGGGAAGATTTTAACAAAAAATTACTTCCTTTTTAGCTCCATCCCTGACACAATTCCATCGTTCTTATTCACTTTCAAATAGCTATGACAATGATGATAAATTGTGTAATGCACAAGAACTTGATAAATTTTATGAAGAAAATTCAAATAAATTTGGATATTTAAATGAAATGGAGGAAAATAAAGAAGAAGAAAGAGAGGAGGAGGAGGAGGAAAGAAAAGAAGAAAATAATAAATTAAATCAAAATTGGGATGAGGAAGGATTTAATGGAAATTTTGATGAAGAAAATAGTAAATATTTTTATAATAATGAAGAATGGTATGGAGAAAATGAAGAAGAAGGAGAGGGGAAAGAAAATAATAATAATCAACAGAAAAACCAATTGGCAACAACAAAATCTGGAAATAAAAATTTAAAAAGAAGGAGAGGATTATGTAAATATTTAAATTTAAATTTGAATATTTTATTTATTTTTTAGTACCAATTTTGAGAACAAAAATAATGGAAATGGAAAATGAAATTTGTTTTTCAAAACAACCAATTAAACAATGCCCAATGGGTACTTATCCAACTGGTTGGGAATTTGAAGAAGAAGAAGAAAACAAAAATAATAAACATTTTACAACAAAAAATATTCCATTTATTTGTATGCCTCGTTCTGATTCTGAAGCTCGGAATTTATTAAATGAATACAGACAATTAATTGGAAATAATCAACAACAATTGGAATTAAATAATTATAAACAACACAGTATTGTTGAAAAAGTTTTAGAACCAAAAGAATGTCGTAGACTTTAACTTCTCTCTCTCTGCCTCCCAATGATGAAAAAAGAAAAAAAGAAATTTTGTGGTGATTCTCCCCATTTACTAAATAATTGTAGTTAATTAATTTGTAGTTTTTTTTAAATTTGGGTTGAAGGATCGTGTAAAATAAATAAATATTTTTAAATATTTTTTTGTTTAATTTTTAATATTTAGAATAAATAGTTAGAAAATAATTGGGGTTTTTAAATTTATTTTTAGAATTTACTACAAAAATACTCCTCTCTTTTTCCTCATTTACTAAAAAATTTTTAAAAAGTCTTTTCTATTAATTTTCTTCATTTCCCTTAAATTTTGTTTGGCTAAAAAATTAATTTGAAATAAAGCCAAAGGAGTTTGGTCACCTTTTAAATTACCTAAATTAATTATTATATAAATTACAGGCCAAGACAAGTTTGCAAAAGTATTTGTATAAGGATCCAGTCTTCTCTATTAATCACATTAAAAAACTTTGACAAATTATTTCAGATTTTGTAAAATTTTAAAATAAATTCAAGTAAATATATTTTTGTTAAAATATATTTACTTATTTCTTCCATAAATATATTTTTATTTAAAATTCCCAATGAGTCATTTATTTTATTTTTTCCATAAATATTTACACGTTTTTGCCAACAACAAAAACAAAATTATTGAATGGTTTTAAAAAATTAATTGAAATTGAGAGAGTGAGGGAAGAGTTTGGAAATATTTTTCATATTTTGTTTGTTTAGAAAAAAAAATTTTTTTTAAATAAAATTAATTTTAAATAAAGCCATTTATGAAAACCATTTTTTAATTTTCTCTCTCTCTTTCACATTTTATGGATTTTATTGAAAATTGACTAAAAAATTAATTAATTAAAATTAATTAATTCAACATCCAATCACCCTCTAAACATAACAGGAATTACTCGTTCAGCAATTTTTGTATCCAAAACAAATACTAATACTAATAAATTCTCTTTTTAATTATGTATATAAATATATACATACATGAATTCATTTCTACTATATGTATTTTAACATATCCCTTTTCAAAAAATTAATTAAAAATATTTATTTTTTTAAACATTAAAAATATTTTTTTAATAATTTTAAAAATTAAAATAAAAATCGACTTTTATTGACTTTTCAATGAAATAGTCTAATTATTGACTTTTTACATCAATTTATTCAATCATTTAATGCCACAAAAACATTTTCCCTTTCATTCTAACCGTCTAAATTTAAAAATAATAATTTTAAAATTATTAAGAAATTTAAAAATAAATTATTTTTTAAAAATTAGGTTGTAAACAATTAATTTCATTTTTAAATTTTTTTAACAAAAATGTCATCTTCAAAAAGTAATTTTGATGAAATTAATTTAAATGAGAATATAACAGAACAACCCAAAACAGACAAAACAATTAACACTTCTTCTGAACCTGTAATTGAACAACAAAATACACCAACAATCCCCAAGTATTTCCCTATTTATTTACAAAATAAATATTTTAAATTAAAGAAAAAGTCCAAAATCGTCGGTCTCTTCTGGTTCAATTTCCCCCGTTACCCCAAGTTCAACACCACCATTACCAGCAGCATTAACTAATCCTCAATCCCCTGCATTTTATTCGCTTGTTTCTGGTATTGAAATTGAGGAAAGTAGTGGAGACGATACTTTTGTTGAAGCAAGAAGTGAATTAATTGTAAAAGAAGAAAATAAGGAAATGGCAGCAGAAACTCAACAACAATATCAACAACAACAACCACCTAAACCGCCTCGTCAGGCTGATATCGGTTAATAATTTAAAAATATATAAATTATATTTATTAAAAAATAATAGTTAACTCAGCTACTCCATTGGAAACTAATATTAAAGAAAAACAAGAGAAAATCGTTCAACAATCTAACAAGCCAAATGAACTTCCCATGCTTCCAATCGCTCCTAACGCTGGAATTGAAGGTCACTAAAGATTATTTAATTTTAATTTTCTTTTCAAACTCAAAGACAATTTAAAGTAATTCAAAGAATTCCAAGAACCTCTATCTAATACTTTATTTGTTTTTAAAAATTCACAGTTCCTCCCAGTCCATTACCATCCGAGCAACAACCCAAACAACACTCACCACCTCCAAATTACACATCTGTTTACCCATCACAACCTACGGGACAATTACCAACTTCATGCTTTGCGGGAACACAAGGGGGAGGTGTTTATACACCTAAAGCTACATATTACATTGATGGAAATGTTGGAGGTCCAGCAATTATAATTAGTCAAGGAGGTTAAAAAATAAAAATTAAAATATATTTATATTTTTAAGAATCAAAAATAGCTACTCCTGTTTTTCTCTTTGCACCCGATCCTTACGGAGAGGAATATTTACGACGTCGACGTGCACTTTCCTTCCTTTCTTGCACTTTGATATTACTACCACTCTTTACTTTACTTTTGATAATTTTGTCTTGGGGTTCTTATTATTATTAGAAGAGAAAAATGATATCCGATATGTGTGGAGGTTTTTTAAAATATTTTATTTAAAAATAATTTTTTGCAGAAGAGATTTTATAATTGAAAGGAGTGAAGCGAATTTAAAAATGATACCCGATTTTTGGATTTTTAAAGTAACTAAAGCTATTAATTTTTACATTTTTTATATTTTTACAAATTAAACACCTTTATTTAAATGAATTGTATATTTAAACTTATCTAAATTATAAAAATTTTATTTAATCTAAATTGTCACCAGTGTAACCCTCAACTCATTTAATTAATAATTTTGTGGATTAAAAAAAGAGCCACCCCCTCCTTTCCTATTACTCAAGGCACTTCAAACAGAAGCTTAAAAAACTGATCATATATATTAGCGCCCAAAAACATCATTTACAAAAACAAGCCTTTATAAACTAAAAATTTTCTAAAATAATACATGCTCAGGCTTAAAAAAGTGAAAATAATGAGAAATCACAATGAGGAGAATCTTTCATTTTTTGTTATTTCAATACGTCCACATCTTGGACATTCAACAGTTATCATTTCTTGTTCATCTTCTCCTTCAAAATCTTTTTCTTCTTCATTTATTAGTATTCTTCTAATTTTTCTTCTTTTACTTAATTTTCTTAAACATTTTGGTTGGGAATTCTTTTGTGCAGCTAAAATCCATAAAAAACGGAGAGGTTGAAAATAAAAACGATTATCAGTAATTGAATGTGGAAATAATGGGAATAATGAGAGAACAAGTGCTGCTATAGACAAATTAGAATCTGATAGACGATATCTTAAAAATAAATATATTTTTATGTAAAAAATTCCTTTTTACCTTCCATATCCAAAATATAATAATCCTAAAGCCATATTTGTACTAACATGTAAACTATGAACAGAACTATCTTTTGGAGGAATACAATTTGCCGAAGTTTTGTTTTTAATATTTGTATCTTCAAATGATGGAAGAATATTTCTAATTTTGCGTAAAATTCTTGTAGTTTGCAAATCACCACTTCCCGCCATTAACTTGAATAAAAAATTAAAAATTTTTTAAATAAAAAATCCTACTAATCCCATGGAAAGTGCACAAACATTTGTGCATGTTCGAAGACAATTTCGACCCGCTCGTAAGGCAAATCCTGACCAGCTGAGTTCATCTACTTTCTTTCGATTATGGTCGATTGACGAAATTCGCTCGTATAGTTGATGCTAAGGAAATTTTAGAAATAATTTAATTTTTAAAAATAATAAAATTCACAATTAAAGAAAGAGCATCCTTCTGACAACTGGAAGCAAATCGGAGTGATAAAGCCAATAAAGCTCCAGCAGTGCAATAAAAATGGACCTAAAAAGAAAATACTTTTATTAAACAAATTTTTCCGTACTTTAGATATTGTCTCAACATCAATGAATTCCTCCCACCAAATATCTTTAAGTGTTTGTGCCTCGACAAAATGTTGCGAATATCTTCGTACAATTTCAGGAATCTGCTTTTCAGTCCATTGCTTTGTTGCCTGAATATCATCAAATTTAACTAGACAACGGCAAAATGTGCGAATCATAAGCATGTCAGGACTAAAAAATTTGTTTAAAGATTCTTTGTTTTTCGTAAACTTTGCTGGTGAAAATATTTTTAAATACTTTAACACTATTCCCTGTAATTTTATGGTTTTGAAATTATTTATAGAAAGCTTTCATATTTGTTCCTTATTTTAATTAATGCTATCCGAAATTTTTTTAGAATTTCTGGAACACTCAAAATCCTTAGGATTTCCCATTATAGCATTAAAAATTTTAATCAAAAATTTAATTATATTTACCGAATTTTATCGATTTCATAGAAAGAATCTTTGACAGAAAGTGCCGCATATATCCATTCATCTCTAGTTCTTAAATACATTAAACCAAGAGCAACTGCCGCCGCCGGAGAAGTTAAATGTATATTTAATGTTGGCAATTCACGCACATGATTAGACATTGGCTGACCTATTCCAGAATAATCACGCGAGGAACTTGAATTTTGATGTTGTTGTTGAACGGTAGCGGTGTTTGTTGAAGAACCACCGGCATTATTCCCTGTAGCATTAACTAAAAATTTAAAATGATGTCATAACGACAGATCCCTATTTAATTTTGGATTATTAAGAAAACTTGATGTAAACGGTAGCGGTGTTTGATGAATAGAAGCAAAGGATACAATTTTACATTAATCAAAATTAATATATACATACCAGACCCTATACCATCCATGGCACTTCCTCCAGGAGTATACCTCCTCAGTGAATAGATTAAATTAGACCCTCCACCACAGCTACTCGCAAAATTTCCAATACGCATTCCTGGACATTCAACACGATCATAACTTAAATAAGCCAAGCGACGTTCGCCACCATTGAGGAGCTTGATGAGACGTTCTTTCAGTGAAGGTGTTGATGAAATTGGAATTTCAGTATCGGTAATCTCCTTTCCTTTACCTGAAACATAATTTACACATGAAAAAATTAAAAATAAATAGGTAACCTAAATTAATTAATCCAATAGCCATGCCAGCAGTTAAAACAAAAGAATATCGCTCAAAAGCCTGGTCACTCTCACACGGAACTTCAAGAGAGATTTGATTTAAAAGTCTAAATTAAATTAATTTTCAAATGTCAGATAATTAATTTCCCTTAAAAATTATTTATATATTCAATATTCTTTTAATTAATTATTCTCAAAATAATTTTATAATAATTTAAAAATTTATACTGGCTAGAAATATTGTGATTTGCCGTTTCCGCAAAGAGCAATCCCAATGAAACTATGGCTGCTGATTGAATGCTTAATTCGATTTTAAATTCAACTAATGTTGGTTGTAACAAAAAAGGTAAATGAGCTGATATCATCTTATAAACCTTAAAATAAAAATATAATAACTATATTCTATTAAAAATAAAACTAACATGCACTTCACTGGTCCCTCGATGAGCTGCGGCACAACCAATCAACAATGCAATAATCAAATATTTATCATTTTGAGTAAGTAAAGCATGAATGTCATAAAGATTCATCGAATCCTTAATACAACCAGATAATCCAGCAGCTAAAAGAAGCCCAGCTCTTATAGTTGTCAAAAGATCAGAATTTGCTTCTTCTTTAATTAATGAAGAAAAAATACGCGATGGAAAACCACCACAATATGAAAAACCATGCGCTAGACCATTGTAAAAATTTGCCCAATCCATTGCCAATTTATGAGACTAAATTAGAAATTAGAAGTGAAAAAGTGTTTAACAGTTATCCCCTTCCTCCTCCCCTCGTATTAATAGATTGTCCATAAAAATAATTACCGGATTTGTATCATTCAACGGGAAATCAACTTGATGCCAACCAGGATGCACACGACCATTCAAACAAATTGGACGTGCACCCATTTGTGAAACCGATGAATTTATAAAATTGTTCTTCTTTATATTTTCATTCTTTTGTTTTAAATTATTTTCTATAAATGATTCGTCATCCTTAAATGCATGACGAGTGTGAAAGTTGAGTGCAGCTTTTCCAAAGGGACGGGCAACCGTCCTAATTGCAACACTCAAAAGGAATTGTTCGTGCTGTTCACGTTGTTGCACTTCACTAGAAGCTTGCTTAAAAATTAAAATTTATTTTATAACAATAAAGTTAAAAACATACTCCCAATTCTTTGCTCGGAATTAGAATGGGTTGAGAAGAATCGAGCATCTGTTGAACATTATATACACGGAGATCACTCGTCCAAATTGGAGCAGAAATCCATTTGTGAGCCTCTTTGATCATCTTCTCAGTCAACCGGAAAAATTAAAGAAATAAAATAAATAATTCCAAATATATTTACTTATTTCTGTCATTAAAAGAAAAATTAGTAACACGAGGACGATTTGAATCTCTAATCAATCGACGAATTCGTTCCATGAGCCGTTCATTCATAAATTTGATTCCTTTTAAATTATGCATAAGAGATGCTGTATTAGTAGCGATTTGGCGATCGGCATTAAGCATTAGCCAATACTGATAAATTAAATTTAAAAATAATTTATTTTAGACTACCTGGTCATTATTCAACATATCCTCAATACTTTGGGTATTTTGTCGTGTTCTTTTAGTTTCTCTCTCTCCACCGTCATCTTCATTTGATCGAATTCTCGCCAACTTTAAAAAATGAAATATAAAATTGTATATTCCACCCACCAATTTTTGGAAAGGCATATCTTTTTGTTCATAAGAAAAATCTTCAAAAATATGTTCAAAAAGTAAAGCCAACTCAATACATTCAATTGGCAATTCATCAACAAAAGGGATTTTTTGAGCCTCATTAGTTATTTTCCATGGGTTGGAACAAAAAAGGCGTGAAAGAAATTGAAGTTGGCGTGCAATTCCAATCCAGCTACATATCGTCATAAGACAACGGTTCGCAAGCTTAGTATTAAAACCAAGTTGGAACTTGAAAGAAAAGAGTGTGAATGAAGCGTTTCTGAAAGCATCGCTCCCAGGAGATTGATGCATATGAGAATTATCATGCTCGACAAAAACCTGAAATTCATATATCTAAATTTTGGATATGAAATACAATTTTTACCCTTAACGCATACTGATTGTATCCATTTGCACAGAGTCCACCAGGCAACAATCTTAACAGGTTACTAGAAGCATTGTTAGCGATGGTACGTGGAATTCCAAAGTTCAATGCGATATTGGCAATTTTTGTGCAACCAGTATATAATGCAATTGAAAAAGCAGTAGGAGAATCAGTGAATGAAAAATTTACGAGCACCATGAAAAACGGAGCATGCTAAAATAATTATAAATTGAATGTTCAACTCTCGAAAGATAGATGACATTTAATAAGGCTTTACAAAATCGGTTAACTGAATTGAACAATGCTGGACCAAACTGATACTAAACTAATTAATACTAGTGAAACCGGGTAAGAGAAGCAAACCAAAAAGATAAGACTCTCAAAGCACATAGGAATTTTCAAAATTAGAATTATCTTAGAGATTGTTTTGATTAATTTATCTTACCAAAAATGGGACAGCTGAATCACCTCGAATAAAACTTGATGGACTACCATTTTCTGTAATTATTGGATCTGGTACCAATAGTGAAGAGGAGTCTTCCAATGCTTTAGGAAAGTGAATGTTCAACACTATAACACGACGATCGCTTGCAATATGAAAAACAATACAACGTTCAGAACGCGAAAGTGCCTGTCGACTGATGAAAAAAGTTGAAGCCATTCGATTCGCTTAAAATTAAAAATGTAAAACCCAAACATAAATTTGAAAAATTCAGAAATAGTTTAAAAGAAATTTTTAAAGGCAAAAAGAAATTTTTAAAGGCAACCATTATTTATTTTATTTGCAACTTCATCGGATTGTGAGCTTGTTGAAGATGATACTCTCAACGTCTCTAATTTTTGAGCAACTTTCTCTGTGCCAATTGAAGATGCTGAACCACTCCGGTTAGCAACAGCATCGTCAATCTATTTATTTTTCAATTAGTTAGAATTGCAGATTTAAACAAAATACCGGTGGCGGAAGCGGTTCTGACCAGAGCCAATCTAAGCAAAATTCTACTGCCATATTCAACGATGATGGCGGTTCAGCGTCAGTTTCGCGACCACCAAAACTCAATAAATCATCCATATCAACAGCAGAAAATGAATGAGCATGTCTTGGAGTTGAATTATTAATATAAGCATTTGAAGCAACATTGTTTCCAGTTGTTATTGAAAACTTTTGTTTAAGACGCATTCGATTCAATGCTGCATTATGTTCAAGAGATCTAAAAGTGAAATAAATATAAAAACATCAAAAAACTTTATACCTATGAAAAGATACTGATTTATCAGCCGCTGAAGATGGTAACGATGAGAGCGCTCCCATACCGAAATTAGGGTTGGAGAATTCACCTGAAGCTGCTGCTGCAGCCATTGAGCGAGTTATACGTCTTGAAATGGGCGTCTGAATTTAACAAATATAAACAATTTTTTATTGTTCGATTATAATAGTTAAAATATTAGATTAAAAGCATCTAAACTCTATATTATAGCCCTTTTCCAATGTGAAATATTTCAAAAAATAATATAAAACACACCAATCTCCATTGAAAAAATAATTTGCAAACCTTAGAAGGGGCAGCGCTCGGAATAGACGAAGTTAAGGAAGCTGTTTGAGATGCAGCATGTAAGTGTGAAGATCCATTACTGTTAGCGAACAAAACAGAATTAAAACAATTAGCAGGTGAATGATGTAAATGAGTATCAATATTATTCTTTTGAGGATTTAAAAGGCCAATTGATGCAAGGCGATCCTCTAAAATTAATTTTAATATTTAAAAATAAATAAAAATTTTAATTTTACCAGCAAATCTTCGATTAAAAAAATTGGGTGAATAAAATGACCGAACTGTGCTCGGCGTATGCATAAGAGCTGACGAATTCAAAACACCCAAATCATTCTTTGCTGCTAATCTTTCCTCTTTAGTACATTTACGTATTAAAAATAAATTATTTCTGCGTTCATCAATATCGTAGCACATTAACAAATCGACGGGACCGAAAAACGAAGAACACCAGTTTGCGGCAATTTCTTTAGGAATAACAGCCATTCTTTTGCCGCGAAATGTATAGTGGCAATCAGAATCACCTGAATATATAAAAATTGAGAAATTTGAAAGAAAATTCTACCTTTAAATTTGCAAAGAATCGGCATTATTTCATTGTAAGGATGAGTCAGAGAAAAAAGTTGGGCAGCTCCTGGGAGACTAAAGAAAAATATTGATATTTTTAAAAGAAATATTTATATACTTTCCGTGTTCTCCAGGAAATGAGCTTCTCTCAAGAATAATCCCAAAACTGCAGGGATGTGCACGACAAATCTGTGAATAAAAATTAAAGAAAAAATATATAAAAAAAACCTTAAAAGGCAATGAAATAGGACAGCATGTCCTACAATTAGCGTCTTGTGAATAAAAATCTATTTGATCATTTCCAATCAAACAAAGATAATCCTCCGGCGTTTTCGGAGTAAAAGTTACAAAAAATGCCTAAAAATTTTTAAATAATTTTTTCGAAAATCTTACATTTAAAATATCAAATTCAGTTTTATATCGATTTTCAATTTCATTTCCGGTCCCATTAAATACTGCCGCTTCTCTTCCAAGAGCTTCTACTCTTTTAATTAACCCACCATTTTTCACAAAATGATTAACAATAACAGAAACATCCTTAAAAATTTTAAAAATAAAAAAAAAATTTAATTAAGAAAAACCTTAAATTCAGGAACGCTTTGCTCACTTTGTTGTGGAACAATCATTTCTACATCCAAATCAATGGACATTCATTTAATAAAAATCTAAAATTAAATTAAATTTTGAAAATATTCGAATTATATTTATGTAATGCTTTATAAAAAATAATGAAAAAATAATAAACATGAAAATAAAAAACATAAAAAATTAAATTATTTAATCTTCAAAGGAGAAGCCTTATGAATTTTTGGGGTACAGCCCAAGTAGGCGCGCGGCCAAATAGGCGCAAAGCCATAACTTGCTTCAAGTTTTATGAATCTTTTCAGCTTTAGTATTAAACGATTCCTCTCATCGAGCTAAAGAGATTGGTACCAAAATTGTTGAGGTCCAGAAATTTTCCAGCTAGTTATGGCTTTGCGCCTACATAGCCGTGCGCCTACTTGGGCGTGTCCCGAATTTTTGTTTAAAAATTAAAAAACATTATGCCAAGAAAAATTTCGAATAAAAGAAAAAATTTAAATTTGTCAAATTTCGAGTTTTGCGATATCTTGTTAGATTTGTCGGCTGTAGTGTAGTGTACCGGTGGTAAAAGTTCGGGACGTGACATATGTCATTCGATTCGTCTCGACGAGCTGAGTCTAACGGTACCACTTTCTATTTTAGGAAATGATTCTGGACCGAGTTATAGGTCCCTGAAAATCGAAAAACCAAAGGGGGGACCAAGCACTTTTTTGGGGTGAAAAATTCGAAAATGCAAATTATACCTCATTCGAAAGAGCTCGTCGAGCTGAGTCGAATGACACCAAAATCAACGAAATCCGACTTGATTTGACAAAATTATGACCGTTTATTTTAGCTCCTTACCTATGGCATCTGTGGAGATTTTTGCTGCTACGGAGGCCCCAAAAACGTCCAGAGCAAGTGAGATAGGAATAGGTTTATGTTACGAGCCCAGACCCAGCGCCCGTAGACTCCCCGCGAGGCGCGTGCCGCGAAACCCCGCGCGAAGCGCGGGGTTTCGCACAAGCGCCTCGCCGACGACCCATAGGTTTAGGTTTTTTGTTTTTTTGTATCATAACTTTGTCTAATCTTGTTCAATCACGGTGATTTTGGTGTCATTCGACTCAGCTCGACGAGCTCTCTCGAATGAGCTAACATTTGTAGAATCGAATTTTTGACCCTAAAATCCCCCCTATGGTTTTTGACCATTTCGAGCCCTATATCTCGACTCAAACTTTTTCAATCAATTCTGATTTTGGTGTCATTCGACTCAGCTCGACGAGCTCTTTCGAATGAGGTATAATTTGCATTTTCGAATTTTTCACCCCAAAAAAGTGCTTGGTCCCCCCTTTGGTTTTTCGATTTTCAGGGACCTATAACTCGGTCCAGAATCATTTCCTAAAATAGGGAGTGGTACCGTTCGACTCAGCTCGTCGAGACGAATCGAATGACATATGTCACGTCCCGAACTTTTACCACCGGTACACTACACTATATCCGATTTGTCATGTGGTTTCACCCAAAAAATCAACGTTTATCAAAAAATTTATTTATTTTAAATTTAGTTAAAATGGAATCTTCTGCCGAAACATCTGAAAGTGAAGTACAAATTGACAAATTGCCAGCAAAGAAAATAGTTGATAACACTTTTTTATTTTTTAATCAAAAATTTAAACAAATTTTAGCGAAAACTTCGTCCACCTCCTCCACCTTTACGTACAAGATTGAAAGAAGACGGAAAACTTGACGACGAAAATCTTGGTGATATTAGTAGAGATTATAGTCAGGAAGAACTTGCAAATATGCGGTAAACCCTTGTTTTTATTCCAAAATTAAGTTTTTAAAAATTTTAAGTGCCGAATCGGAGAGATTGTCACTTCTTGTAGATGAAAGTTATTTTTTGGTAATTAATTTTTTTGTATAAAATATTTGAGATTTTTGTAATAAAAGATGTAAAAATTTAACAGTATAAGACTTCCAACCCAATTGCTTTTTCTTCCTTTAGGCAATTTCCAGACCTTAAACATATTTTCATAAATACAAAATTTTTGAAAAAAAACTTTGGTTTTAATTTTAATTATTTAGACAAAGCCTTTTGGTGCCCGCTTCTTACGGCCATACAAACAAAAGCAAAAGAAGAATGAATAATTTTTAGATATCATAAAATTATAATAAATATCAATTTATATGTTTAAATCAATAATTTTTTGAAAATATATTTTTTAATTACTTTTATTTTATTTATTTGAGTAATATTTTTAACCAAAAATTATTAATTTTCTAGTTAATATTTTGGTTCAGACAATTTTTGAATCATAAAGCATTAGAAAGAGCCCTTTAAAATGGGTAGAATGATATTATGATAGGTAAATTTGGTGATTATAAGCAGAATTATGTAGCTAAAGAACTTTGTTAATTTAAGTTAGATTTAGTTTATTTTAGTGATATTCAACTCATGTCAGCTCAACGAGCTTTTTCGAATGTAAATATTTAAAATATATGCCCAATCTCTCTTATATTTCCATTATTTACATCAAACTTTCATTTTTTATAATTCAAAATAATATCAAAAATTTTAAAAAATATATATTTTTTACATTTTCGCAACATATTTTTGCTTGTTTTCGTTTGTTAGGCCAATTAATAATAAAAGTAAATACTCAACACTTTTTTCTTTTACAGGTAGAATTACCCCCTCAACACAATATATTTATAAAAAAAAAAGAGAGAAAGAGCTCCTTCAAAATTCGTTCATCCGCACATTTGTGTGTGTGTAAATAAATACAATATGTAATGTAAATATAAAATAAAATTCACAATTCTTCGGCCTCTATAAAATTACTGCGTGAATGCACACTTTCCTCTCCCTTTTTCTTAAATTTTTTTTTCTTTTCACCAATTTTAGGAACAACATATTGAGAGAATTACTTGGTAGTAATTCGCGCACAAATGCACTTTTCACTTAAAAATATTTTTTCTTTTAATACACTGCTGCTCTAAAAAGTATTAGACAGCAACACCTTTTTAATTGACATTTTGTTGCATAAATAAAAAAATATTTTAATTCGAGGTTAAGAAAATATTTTTTTTTAATATTTATAAAGTTCTATTTAGAAATTTAATAAATGGGGGATGGGATTTTAAGAGAAATACAGTGAAAGAAATTAAAATTTAGAAAGCTCATAGGCCGTAAATGCTCTAATGGAAGCACAGTCTTAATAGAAGCACACCCTACGAGAGGATCGAAAAATTCAGAAGCACACATACTTCAATTAGAGCATATGTAGCACTTGACTGGCCTTAATTCTGATAATCTCTTCTGAAAAAATTTTTTATTTGGATAACCAACTTATTTATTTCACATTGTTAATTTAAAAAATTAAAAAAAATATTATTAAAAATATAATTTTTTTGTCATTTTTCTTTTTATATAATTGGTCTTCAATTTCTAAAATAATTATTTATTCTCATATTTTTAAACATAATTTGTTCATACAAAAATTACTTTTTTGTTAAAATTTTGTATTGTTATTTTTAACAATTAAAATAATTCTCCCTACTTTTTTTTAAATAATAACAATTATTCTAACGGTCAGTCAACCAAAATAATTTCAAAATAACAATAAAACTAATAAATATATAATTGTATGTATGTACAGTAAATAAGGATTTATTTATTAATTTTTGGATATTATTAATTGTTAAAGTTGATAATTTTAAAAATATACCTATTTATAAAGTCAGAATTAAGTTCATATAATTTTTAAATTAATCTGTTTTTAAATTTTAATGTTGAAAATAAATTATTTAAATTTATATTTAAATTAGAAAAAGAAAAAATTTCGATTTTACAAATTTATTTTCTAGTTTTTTTTATCAAAAAAACTCTATCGACCCTCAAATAAATGTTGAGAATACTTCTGTCAGTTCTTCATGACTATCTTTTTATCCAGAAAATTACTGTTAATTAAAATGTTTTTTGGAAAGTGTTTTAAAATGACTAATAACAATTTATTATTTCTACCATATACTTTATCTAATTTTAGAAATTGACAATTTTAATTTAAAATTATTTATTTTTGGTAAAATTGTTCCCTAAATAATTTATTTATTCTTTCTTTTTTTGATTAATTTTTCCTTTTTAGATATTAAAAATATAAATTCCTTTTTCACATGCCATATATCTAAAATTAACCACCATACATAGAAGACCATTAAAAACTACCCAAATCCATCCATGCATTTATTTATTTTTTTTTTGTTTTAGTCGAACACTTTCGAACACTTTTTCTCTCTTTTTTTTCATCCTCTTTCTCCTCTCAACCATTTTTTTGTCATTTTTCGCTTGAATGGCATTATGCCAAATCCTCCTCTTTCTCTCTGTATTCACATGTCTTTCTTTTTCAAAAATTTTTGCCATTCCCGCAATCCCTCGGGATTCATTCTTTGCTCTCTGAACGGTTGGAAAAATATTAAACAAAAAAAAGAATACATAAAAGTGTTTTGGTTGGATATTTTTAACTAAAATCTGCTAACAGCAAAATACAAACGAGACAAAAGGATATTAAGAGACAAATATTAAATTGGCTAAAAATAGATAAAAAAGAAAAAATTTTTAAGTGGTCTTTTTTTTCAATAAATATTTAATTTATTTAAAATCTCAATAAATACACAATCCCTAATTTAGGTATTGTATTTTTTGTTAAATATAAAAGAATTAATAATTAATTATTTGGTTTTCAAATTAATAAAATAAACAGAAAAATTTATTGGGTCTAATTGGGGCCAAACTTTTTAATTTTTTTTTAATTTTCTGGGTTTTTATTTTGAAGGATATTTTTATTTATTTGGCTTATTGCCAAATAAATATATTTTGTTTACAATAACTAAATTTGGCTTTCTTTATTTTAATACCAAATAAACAAAGCCATTATTTTATTTTGCACAAAAAATTTTTTTATTAGAAATTTAAAGAAAAAAATATCAGAGTCAAAAAAAATTTTATTTAATTTATTTATTTTAAAATAAATTTTTAAACTACAAGAAATGTTGCTAAATAACAGATAAAAATTTTTAATTAAATTTTGAC